ATGGCTGGGCAGACAGAGGCCCAGCCATTCTCTGGGTTTTTCAAGCAGCTGCCACACCTCCACAGTCCCATATCCTTTGGAGAGGAGTGCCATCTCTGCCTGGGGTGGTTGGTGTTCCCTTCACAGAGGGAAAGCTGGTGTTTTTTTCTGTCCCACCATGACATCCATCAAATTCCGCCTGAGCAGAGAGGGTGGCATTCCCAAYGCTGCCGGTGTCCTTCCCACCTGGCAGCAAGCAGAGGAAGGCACAGCACCCACTCCTCTCCCTCTCTCCTGGCTCTCTTTGAAAGGCTCTTGGAGGTGGGATGTTCAGGTGTGCCTGGAGGTGCAGATGGAATTAGGCATTTACATACCTGTGTGGGGTTTATGCACACCTATGTGTGTTTAATACCCGGGAAATGCCAAAATGGGAAAGCAGGAATGGTTATCCAGAGCCAAGGTGACCCTGGAGGAGCACAGCACCACGAGGTCACCCTCAGAGGGACCCAGGAGGGCTGGGGGACTCTGCCCCTGAAGCCACCGTGAGGACAATGGTTTACAGGTGATTTTAATTTATAGGTTTATAGATTTATAGGTGATTTTAATCGATAATTTATAGGTTTATAGGTTTAAAGGTGATTTTAATCGATGAAACCACRCTGTRGCCAGCATTGTGCCCTTTGTTTTGYAAATAAACCCTCTCTGGGGGTCTCCATCTCTCTGTGGGGCTGGCCCAGAGCTTGGAGGCTGCTGAAGTGTGTGAGGGAGTGAATCCCGGAGAACCGCGTTAGGACGATCCCGGAGGTGTCACTCTGGAGAGCAGGCACTCCCGACACTAATCCGCCCCTGATCGGGGAGGGAGATACGGTGTCAGCTCAAACGGTACCCAGCTCAGCAGATGAAAATAAACTATCAAGCAATTATTAAAAAAGAAAACCAATTCTGCTGGCATAATCTGACAACATGATGATAACAAATCATGATAAAGGGAAATCCCACCCAGAGCAGCAGAACGAGTTCCATCTGATGCAATATTCTGGTATACACCTCTGGTATATACATATATATATAATATATACCTTGAACTCTGTGTTCCCTGTCCCCACAAAGTGTCATCTTTACCTGTCTGCCACTGTGCTCATTCTGAGGGACAACACATCTGTGTTAATATCAAACTTCATGGGCTCCCTTGGGTTCCCATGCCCTGCACSTGCAGCCACAGAACATGTTCAGATCAGGTGTTCAGACAATTTGAATCCGTGTTAATTAACAAGCAGAGTCTGTTCGGCACAGTGAGAGGCGGCTCTTGACCCATCTGTGGCCTCTGGGACACCCCAAAGCTGCCACCAGAGGCTGTGCGGGGGAAAAACAAACACCGGACAGTGGGGTGTGTGTAAGAATGTCTGTACATACCGATACACGCACATGTGTGTGCTCATGTACATGTGCACATATGTGTCCATCAGCTGTGTGTGTGTGCAGGGGTGTGGATATCATCACTGAATCCATCCGGAAAGAACTGACACCACCGAGTCACTGCTTGTCACCTGCCCCACAGCGCCGAGTGTCACCTCCAGTCGCTCCTCGGTGKTGGGGATTCTCCCACCTCCCTGGGCAGCCCCTGCCAAGGCCTGAGCACCCTTTCCATGGGGAAATTCCCGCTGATGTCCCCCCTGAGCCTGCCCTGGAACAGCCTGAGGCCGTTCCCTCTGCTCCTGTCCCTGTTCCCTGGAGCAGATCCCAAATCCCCTTCTGTCAGGGAGCCACAAGGTCCCCCCTTACTCTGTGCAGGGATGTCCCTATGGACACTCACAGGGACAGGGACAGACGGCACGGACGGACAAACGGGCACGGCGGGGTCGGGCGGGGATCGCGGAGCGCGGCCCCGGGGCGGGGCGGAGGCGGTTCCGGGGCGGTGCGGGGATCGGGGCGGTGCCGGGGCGGTTCCACGGCTCCGGGAGGTTCCGGGGCTCCAGGAGGTTCCGGGCGGCTCCGGGCAGCGCTGAGCGGTTGCGGGCGGGCGGATCGGCCATGTCGGTGTTCGTGACGCGGCGGATCCCGGCCGAAGGGCTGCGGGTGCTGTCCCAGGCCAGCGGGTGAGCGCGGGGCTGCCGCGGGTCCCGGGGCCGGTGGGTACCGGTGCGGGTCCCGGTGCCGGTCGCTGACGGTGCGGGTCCGGTGCGGGTCCCGGTGCGGGTCCTCCCGGTGCGGGTCCTCCCGGTGCGGGTCCCGGTCCCGGTGTTGGTGGGTCCCAGTGCAGGTCCCGGTCCCGGTGCAGGTCCCGTTCCAGTCCCGTTGCCGGTCACTGACGGTGCGGGTCACGGTGCGGGTCCCGGTCCTGGTGCCGGTCGCTGATGGTCCCGGTCCCGGTGCCGGTGCCGATCTCGGTGCCGGTGCCGGTCCCTGTCCTTGTCCCGGTGCCGGTCGCTGACGCTGCCCGTGCTGTGCCGTGCCCCGCAGGTGCCTGTGCCGGTCCCGGTGCGGATCCCGGTGCCGGTCGGTGACTGTCCCGGTGCGGGTCTCGGTCCCGGTGCGGGTCCTGGTTCCGGTCCCGTTGCCGGTCACTGACGGTGCGGGTCACGGTGCGGGTCCCGGTCCTGGTGCCGGTCGCTGATGGTCCCGGTCCCGGTGCCGGTGCCGGTCCCGGTCCCGGTGCGGTCACTGACGGTGCGGGTCCCGGTCCCGGTGCCGGTGCCGATCTCGGTGCCGGTCCCGGTCCCGGTCCCGGTGCCGGTCGGTGACTGTCCCGGTGCGGGTCTCGGTCCCGGTCCCGGTGCGGTCGCTGACGCTGCCCGTGCCGTGCCGTGCCGCGCAGGTGCCGCGTTCAGCAGTGGGACTCGGAGGAGCCGGTGCCGCGGGCCGAGCTGCTGTCGGGCGTGGCGGGGACACGCGGTTTGCTGTGCCTGCTGTCGGACCGCATCGACCGCGAGGTGCTGGACGCGGCCGGTGCGTGCGGGACCCCGCTCTGCCCCCGCCGCCTGCCCCGGGCCCCCGGGACCCCCGGGACAGGCACGGCAGCGCCCACCGTGTCTTGCAGGGCCCGGCCTCAAGGTCATCAGCACCTTGTCCGTGGGCTTCGACCACCTGGCCCTGGATGAGATCAAGAAGCGGTAACGCTGCCCCTCTGCTTCCCTGCTCTGACACCTCCTGTTCCATCCCTCCCCTGCTCTGAGCATCCCCGCCGTGTTTCATTTCCCTCCCAAGCTCTGATCCCTGTTCTGTGCCCCCAATTCTGCAGCCCTTCCTCCAGCACGCCCCACATCCCACTGCTCCCTGTGGGTTATCACAGAGCGTGGGGCTGGATGGGGTCAGCTGCCTGCCCCTCCACTGCCGGGTCATGTCTGGGTCACCCCAACCCTGGGGCTGGAGGAGCCTTTGGGTGCAGGGGCGAGGCAAGGACAGCCTGCGGAAGGTGTGGCAGGAGGACTGAGAGCCCRAGGGATGTTCTTGGGCACCTGGGGCAGGCGTAGTGCTGGCTCCCAGCCTGGACATGCCAGGGTAGCACCCCAAGGCTGTCCCAGCACCCCGTCTGGCCTGGCAGGGGGATCCGGGTGGGCTACACCCCCGACGTGCTGACCGACGCCACCGCCGAGCTGTCCGTAGCCCTGCTGCTGTCCGCGTGCCGCCGGCTGCCCGAGGCGGCCGAGCAGGTCAAGAGGTGAGTGACCACTGTGGCTGCTCCTGGAGCGGTGTCACACGGACTGGTGACACGGCCAGGGTTTCATCCTGCTCGCTGTGAGCCCCTGGGCTGGGCTCTGAGRTTTCCCTGACCCTGTTCCTGTCCCKSTCTCTGGGCAGCGGYGGCTGGTCCACCTGGAAGCCGGAGTGGATGTGTGGGTACGGCCTGTCCGACAGCACCGTGGGCATCATCGGGCTGGGCAGGATCGGTAGGTGCYGTTTGGGGAGCAGGCTGCTGTGTCTGCAGCGGGCAGAGGGTTTGGAGCTCACCTTCAGCCCTGGAAGGTGTCCCTGCCAGAGGTGGGAGGTGCCATGGGATGGCCTTTGGGGTGTTTTCCAACCCAAACTGTTCTGGGACTCGGGGACTCAGCCACGGTGCTGCCCTGGTGCTCACTGTGTAAAAACCCCATGAGCACAGCGAGGGTGATTCTGCAGAGCCTCCCCAGCAGCTGCCCTGGCTCATCGGCCCCAAATCCTTCATGTTCCTGTGCTTCCACCTCCTCCCATCCCTGCTGTGCCTGTGCCTCCTCCTGCTCTGGGTTCAACAMACCGAGTGGCAAAGTCCACATGGCGCCATCAGCCCTGGACTTTGCCAGGAGGGGCCATTCCTGTCCTGGTTTGCTCCCGAGGGCGAGCTCGGGTTGGGTGTCCATGGCCCCCTTTCCCCAGCAGAGCAGCTCCAGCCCCACAGTCGGGACAAGGGGCAGCTCGGGAGGGGCGATCCCACTGCAGCAGCCCCTCAGTGGCTCTGGGCACTGCACCCCACACTCGGGGAGCTGCAGCAGCCTCACACTCGTGTCTCTCACTCTTAGGACAGGCGGTCGCCCGGCGCCTGAAGCCGTTTGGGGTGCGCAAGTTCCTGTACACGGGCAGCGGCCCGAAACCACAGAACGCGGCAGAGTTTGGGGCCGAGTTCGGTAAGGACAGCTCCAGGGAAGGGTCACTCACAGGGCTGTCCCTGCAGGCTGAGGGAGGGCACAGGAACAGGAGCTGGGGGATTTGGGGGCTCCTCAGCACACCCCGTGACAGGGGACAGTGGGGGAGGGAATGCTGTGTCCCACACATGCGCCATAGGGCAGTGAGGGGTGACAGGGGTGACCCTGACCCTTCCGTGCCAGGCCAAGGCTGGACATGCAGGGGCTCCTCAGACCACTCTGGGAGCTGCCACTGTTCCCCTTCCCTGTGCCCGTGTTTTGGTGATTCCCTGACATTCCATTCCCACTGGGAAGCTGGACACAGAGAAACGGGGCCAAAAGGTGTCACCTGCTCCTGGGAGCAGGGCAGGGTCCCGTGGGCTGTCCCCATGGGGCGAGTACCGAGTGTCCTGGGGGACAGGGGGACTGCAGCTGTCCCCAGAGCTCTCTGCAGGAATGTGGTGGCTGCAGCACGGTTTTTGTGTGTTTCTCCTCTCAGTCCCGCTCACGCGGCTGGCTGAGGAGTCGGACTTCGTGGTGGTCACTTGTGCCCTGACGCCGGCCACCCAGGGGATGTGCAACAAGGACTTCTTCGGCAGGATGAAGAAAACCTCTGTGTTTGTCAACACGAGCAGGTACTGGCAGTGCTCTGATGCCTGATGATTTTTGCTTTTCCTTTTTACGTTTTCTGTACCCTCTATGCATCCCCTGCACCCCTTAGCCCACATGCTTGTAATCCCTGGAGTTTGATATTCCAGCTCAGTTTAGGAGTTCTGCTGGGCAGAGAGACCAAACATCCTCAGGAAGGGTTCAGTGTGCCCTGTGCTATCTTAAACCCGAGCTCAGCCTTGGGTGAAGCCTTCTGTCCAGAACATCTTGTGTAAACTGGGCTCTGGCCTCATCCAGGATTCATTAGAATAGTGGGACATTACTGCATTTGTGAAGTTTCTTATTGGGGAATCTTAGATAGAAATGCTAATTCCTGAAACCTAGAAAACTTGTATCTTACTGGGGAATCCTGGATAGATTTGCTAATTCCTGAAATCTATAAAACTTGTATCTTATTGGGGAATCCTGGATAGATTTCCTAATTCCTGAAATCTATAAAACTTGTACCTGTGCTGTACACGGGTGTGCATTCTGCCATCAAGTTGTGCACCTGGGATCCCAAATCCTGAGGTAAAACCCTTTTTATCCCCTTAACCGTGTCTGTGTCATTATTAAAAACTGGTCTTTCAAGGCGACACTCTGTTCCTGGGGAGGGGCTGTCACCGTGCCAGGCTGTGAGAGGAGGGGGCTGTGCTGGGCTGTGAGTGCCCCTCACACCCGGCCTTATCCCCAAGCAGGATGAGTTATCAGCAGGATGAGTTATCAGCAGGATGAGTTATCAGCAGGATGAGTTATCAGCAGGATGAGTTATCAGCAGGATAACTCAGGATGAGCTGTGGGCACAAGCAGCACATCCAGGGAGGGTCTGACCTGTGCTCAGGCAGCTCTGGGGACGCTGTGGGATGGCTCAGCAGTGACAGCTGCTGTCCCCTCCTGTCGGACAGGGGGGCTGTGGTCAAYCAGCAGGACCTGTACGACGCCCTGGCCCAGGGCCGGATCGCCGCCGCCGGTTTGGACGTGACCACACCGGAGCCGCTGCCCACTGACCACCCCCTGCTCTCCCTCAAGAACTGCGGTGAGTCTGAGGAGGGGTCAGCAGGTGCTGCCTCGGGGGACACTGACACGTGTGACAGGGACCCCTGGTCCCCGTTAGTCCGCTGGTGACAAGGGACACCAGAGCACACAGGACAGGCAGGCCAGGTGTGTTGGGATGGGCTGCTCTACAATCTGGGGCGCTGCTGTGGGGTGAGAACTCACCAACACCGTGTCAAACACGTGTAGGAGATGTTTTAATTCTCCAGAAAGCCGCTGAGATCAGCTTGGTTTGAGTATCCTGGTGAAGGCTCCTCATTCTGTGTGTGAAATTCACGGAGGGTCTGTTGGCAGCAGGGGTGTGGATGAGAAAGCAATGCCCAAATCGTGTGTTCTGAGGGCTCCTGGGCATAAATTGCGATAGAAAAGCTTCCCCTGGATAAAAGTAGGAACTGAGTTTGCTCAAGCTGAGCTTGCCTGGAGTCTTGGTCTCAGGAGACATCGGGCAGGGGGGAGGTGCAGGTCCACCTGTCTGCTCTGGAGGAGGATGATGCAGTGAGGAAGGATGGCTGGGATGGAGCTTCCCTGGCTGGTCTTTAACAGGATTTTCTCCTTCCAGGGGGATGGAGTTTCTGGAGTAGGAAAAGGATGTTCCAAAGAGAAACAAACCATAGGGACATCGTGAAAATTTGGAACTGCCCATGGCTGAGTGCTCATTTCTGAAATACAAATTTATAGCTGTTTTATCTTTTTGCTGAAGCTCTTTTCTTGTTTGCTTTGGTTCCCCAAAAGCAGACTGTGAGGGATGATAGCAGAGACTTTCTGGAAAAAATTAGCAGGAGACTTTCTGGAAAAAATTAGCAGGTCTTGGGAGATTTGAGAGCTGTGGAACAAGACCAGGCAGGACCTAATTAATATTTATTAAATGCATTACTTGTAACAGTAATATTATACATTTATTAGTGCAGAAATAACATCTGCATAGATGCTGTGCCTCTGCCAGCCCGGAAAGGGGCGGTTGGGGATCTGTGAGGGTGAGAGGTGAGCAGTGKGAGTGAGCAGTGTCCCTCCTGTCCCCGCAGTGATCCTGCCACACATCGGGAGCGCCACGTATGCCACCAGGAGTGCCATGGCCGTGCTGGCGGCCACCAACCTGCTGGCAGGGCTACGAGGGGAGCCCATGCCCCACGAGCTGAAGCTGTGACAGCCACCGTGCCTTGGGATGGATGCAACACGAGGGCAAATTAAAGAGTAGCAGCAAACGTGTGGAACTCGCGTTATTTGAGAGCAGAGTGCCCCGGGTGGAGAGCACTGCGGGTGCTCTGCTTTGGGGAGTGCTTGCCGTGCTCAAACGACCCTAAAGGAGCTGCTGCTGCAGGATCTGTCCTCAAAACCTGGCTCCTGGTCACCCTGAGAGGGTGGGAGTGCCTCATCTGCTCCTGCAGCAAGAGAGGGAGGAGAGGGGACAGCTGCCCCTCTGCAGGTTCTGCCTGCAGCTGCCCTCCTTTTTATTGAATGTGATGGTACAAAGGACACCCTGAGCTGCCAGGAGAGGCCCGATGGGCACATCTCGAGGGCTTTGGGGACTCGTGTCCTGCAGCCACTGTCCCACTTCWGGAATGGGGGCTGGAGCCTGGAGCCCGGCTCTCTGTGCCATCGGTCACATAATCAGGGACTGCATTGGGTTGGGAGGGACCTCAAGGATTATCCCATTCCACCCCCAGGGACACCTCCCACTGTCCCAGGTGGCTCTAAGCAGTGTCCATCCTCATCTGGACACTTCCAGGGATGGGGCAGTGACAGTGTTGAGAGCCTGATGTCCGGCTGGGAGGATCCCTCCATCCTACAGGAGGGAGGTGGAGCTGCCCAAGGGTGGACACTGCCCTCGCCACGGCCCCCTGGCCTCCTTGACCCCTGACCACGGGACAGGACAGCCCTGTCACAGCCCTGTCACCAGCGTGCAGTGCCACCCACCCCACGGTGTCCCCACAGTGTGACTGGAGGTCACTGTCACTGTTAAACCAAGGTTCCTTACAGCCCTGAGTGCTCCCAGTCCTCACACCAGGGTTCTGTGCACCCAGGGTTCCTTTTGAGCTGTGGCTGTCTGCTGACCATCCTCTTCCTCCTCTTCCTCTTCCTCCTCCTCCTCTTCCTCCTCCTCCTCCTCTTCCCATCCCATCCCATCCCATGGATCCCATCCCATCCCATCCCATCCCATCCCAGCAGTGACCAGACCCTCTCAGGAGCACACAGGAGCCCCTCTGGCCCATCCAGGTTGAACAGAGGTGCCAGATCTGCCCTGCCCAGGTGGGTTTGTTTTTGTTCAGGTTTTCCCATCCCTTTGCCCCAGGACCAGCCCCATTGCCCCGCAGCCAGCAGTGCCTTGTCCCGCACACTTTGGGGCAGGGGACAGACGGAACCGGTGCTTTTTGGGGACAGCAGCACAAGGGGAGGGACGGAGGGGTCTGCAGTGGGCTCCAGTGTCCCCGGGTGAGCAGCTGGCATCACCGTAATGCTGAACACAGCACAAAGCCCCTGACAGGAGGTACAGACCCAGCACTGTCCCTGTCCCACAGCGAGTGTCCCTTGGGCTGGACTCTGCTGGATTCAGATAAAACAGATCCCTCACTGACAGCAGTAACGGCTGTTGGGAGCTGCATCACGCCTTGGAGAGATTCTGACACATTTATCAGTGATTTTCATGGTTGATTGCACCAAGTTCAGGGTTTTGTGATCACTTTTGTGAGCACRTTTCCATACAGGCTGGTGTGAGGAGCACCAAACCAGTGAAGCCACTCAGACACAGCAGCACAAAAACATCAGGTTTATTTCCAGGTGCTTYGGAACAGACCCAACACCTCCAGTCCCATTTGTAAAGTTCAGTTCTGAGCAGGATTCAGTGGGATAAGCTCTGCAGGCTGTGGGTGAGACACCCTTCGCACAGAGAGCTCAGTCCAGGTATTTACGCTGTTCCCAGGAATTTATTGCTTCATTCGGGAAGACTCGGAAAGCTGCGAGGCAGCTGCGGGCTCTGGGCCTGCCACTGCACATCAACTGATAATGGAATTAAAGCTGCTGCTTCCAAAAATGCTCCAGAATTTTTCTCAAAGAAAGAATGCAGAAGTCCTCCTGCACTGATACTCCACATTAAATTTGTTATAAAAACATTTAAAAGTCCAGTTAAGTGTTTATCTGCTCCTACTAGGGCTTAATTAATCTCCTTGCTCAAAGAGATGCATTCTTTCCAAACATTGTAACAATTCAATGAATTTGGATGTGCTACAGAAAATGTAAAAAACTCAAGCCTTGTTTTTAAAAAGCAAAACTAAAAATGCAATGAAGACAAAACAATCAGTGTTACTTTTAAWAAAGCAACACAAGAAAATATTAAAGTAGGAAATACTGCATTTTATTGATGTTTCGGAGAGTGTTTATGCAGCTTAATGCCATTAGTCCCCAATACTGAAATTATTTCAAACAAAACAGAGGAGTATCCCACTGCTTTAAAAAAACGCGTTATTTTAATGCTTAAAAAAATCAAGAGCCATAAAAATGACCATTAAGTAAACCCTATAACAAAACCTTAACATTTTAAAGGAATTAATCCAACTATCTCCTGTGTTTCTGCATTTCTCAGATAGTCAAGGTGCAAACAACGTGCTGACAGGGCAGGTGCAGGAAATCCTGTGTGTCACTTGAGCAGAAGGACACACTGCAGCCCTGACCCAGCCCCTGCTTGGCTAAGCKGCATTTCCCATCAGCAGAAGTGCTCTGAAATTTTATTTTAAAACCTAAGAATTCTGAGCACCAGTTTGAGYGCACCTTTGACAAGCAAGAAAGGAGACTGCAGGCAGTGTTGAGTTACAGTGGCACCAAAGAAGAGGAAATGAAAATGAGATTTACATCRCTTACATGGAGAATGACAAATTTCTGCTACAGTGTGTACAGCAACATTTTTTAAATTTATGTTAGCAGTTTTTAGATGTGGAAAAGTACTTTTATGACACTGCTTTAAGTGGAAGGCCTGGATTTGGTGACATTTTACAGAGTAAGAGGCAGCAGTGCCCAGGCAGCCAGGAGGGTCAGCTGTGTCCTGGGGGCATCAGGGTGACCATCACCGGCCCTGTGAGGGGAGAATTGTCCTGCTCTGCTCTGCTCTGCACACTTTGAGTGCTCGGGACAACTTTAGCACCACCGTATAAAAGAATTAAACTGCCAGAGCATGTCCAGAGGCCACGGGGATGGTGAGGAGTCTGAGAGCAAGCCTTGGGAGGGCATTTATGTTCAGCTCAGAGATGAGACTGAGCTCAGACCCCACCAACATCCTCCTGAGGGCAGCASAAGAGCAGGGACAGATCTCTTCACTCACCAGTGGTGGGATTTGAGAGAAAATCTGCAGCTGAGTCAGGGAAGGTTGAGGTTTGGTATGAGGAAAAGGTTTTTCACTCAGAAGGTGGTCCAGCACTGAAAATACTCCCCGGGGACCGGGTCACAACCCCAAGCCTGCCTGAGATAAAAAAGTGTTTGGACATCGCTCTCAGGCACAGGATGGGATTACTGGGGTGTCCTCTGCAAGGCCAGGAGCTGCACAAAATTATCCTGGTGCAACCCTTCCAACTCATACTCACTGATCCTGTGAAACATGGCAAACTAGGATTGCTCTGAGGAGYGATTTGACCCAAGGAAAGATCCACAGCTGCAAAGGAAGTCACTAAGTGCACAAGGCAGGGAATGAAAACCTGGAGATAAAAGGACAACGTGCTCATACTAACAGGGACCAGAGGGACTGTGGGCATCTGGGAACAGCGAGATACTGGCAAAAAAAAAAAAACATCACAAATTACCTCTCCTTCAAAACATCAGACAAAGACAAGCTCTGTTCAAACTTCTGCGTATATAGAATTGTAACATAGGAGATACAAACTGGTTAAAATACTGCTAGGAATAGCACAAACAAGAGACAGTACTTCACTTACCACTTAATACTCATTTCTACGGGAGAAAAAAAAAAAAGAAAACCAGCCAAACATCCAGATCTTGCTGTATTAAAGTTATATGTACACCTGGCAGTCCAAAAGTTACTCTGGGATTTAATTTAAGCACCTTGATTACACAGTGTCTTTTACTACAAAAACAGCCAAACATACATTCATAATCCTAGAACTATTGTTATAATTAGTGTTATTTTAAAGCATTATGTCAGACAGGTGCATCCAAAGCTGTTTTTCTCTTTTAAAGGTGAGCGCTCTGCACCACTGCCCTCACATAACGCAGCAACTCGTGTTACAGTAATCATTTAAATGCTTTCACTGTTACAAAATGCTTTAGAGGGGAAAAAAAAAAACCAAAAAAAAAAAAAAAAGAAATTTGCACTTCAGTTTCTGTTTCTCAAAACGTGCTGTTTTAGGAGACCCCCACGCCGTCACCCCTCTGCCCTGCAAAGGGGCCGCTTGGCTGTTGGGGGTCACATCCCCATCCCCGCCGCGGCTCCCGGCGGTGACACCTGCGAGGTAGGTACCGGATATCCCCAAAGGCAGAGCCCAGGCTCTGAGAGCGGCACCACCCGCCCATCCCTGCCCCTGCCCCTGCCCCTGCCGGCGGCAAGGCTCCTCCCGGCGCGGGGGGCGGCTCACAGCAAGCTGCTGGGCAGGTTGCTGCTCTGCCACCGAAGGCAGGTAGTCTTAGAGTGTTTGTACAGGTGGCTGGACTGGCTGAAGCGCTTGCCGCACTTGAGGCAGGCGTAGGGCTTCTCCCCCGTGTGCACGCGGATGTGCTTCTTGCAGTCTGTCAGCGTCAGGAAGGTCTTGCAGCAGATCTTGCAGGCGTACTTGCGCGCGCCCTCCACCACCAGCACGTTGTGCTCCGACAGCGCCTTCTTGCACTTGGACAGCACGTCGGCCGACGCCCGGGTGAGCTGCGGCGGGCCGGGCTGCGACAGGTGCCCGCCCTCGAACGAGGAGCTGCCGTTCATCATCAGCTGCGAGCCGGAGGAGCCCTCCTGCAGCTGCGAGCCCCGCACCGAGGTCACCACCGGCATCTTGGGGGCGATGCGGCGGTAGCCGGGAAAGCCACCAGCTCCGCCTCTCACGGAGCCCATCATGGCCCGGGACAGCGAGTGCAAGCCCAGCCCCGAGCGTGGGAAATCCATGCCAAACTGCTCGGCTGCTCGGTAGCCGGAGCTCTGCACGCAGGGCAGACCCATCACATCCTGCATGGGCCGCACAAAGTGTGAGTCYGCGGGCTCGCTGAACGGGTTCTCCACGTGGGACACGGCCGTGGACGAGTGGCCACCTGTGGGTCCAGACTCCGGGCTCATCAGGTATGATGTGTCACTGTCCATCCTGCAGTCGCTGGTGGTGTTGGGAATGTTGTCATCGTTGTTCTGGCTGGTGCTGAAGCCACCTCCTCTGCTTTTATTCAAGAAGTTTGAAATGCTGAAAGAAGACTTGTGCTCCAGGTTGTTGGACACCTCCATGATGTGGATGTCTCCCACTCGGTCGGTGCTGGACTGGGGGTCAGAGAAGCTGCGGTCGCTGCTCTCGGGGCTCAGCTCTATCTTCTCTGCACTCACCACTCCTCCTTCCACCTCCACGGACTCGCTGCCCTCCGCCTGCGAGGTGACATCGCTCACCTCATCCTGAGGCTCCGGGGAGCTCAGGGGCTCCGACTTCACCACCACTCTCATGTGCTCCTTCTCGTTCAGGGTCACCTCCTGATTCTCACACGGGAAGCTGCTCTTCTCAGCAGCAGCCTCCTGGTCAAAGCTGGTTTCCACCTGCGTGGTCTGGGACGCCATGGACATCTGGGAAATGTTTCCCCCACCGTTATCTGACTGGCTGGGCACCTGAGCATCCTCCTGAGCGCCGAAGGACTGGTCAAACATGATGGTGTTGTCCTCCTGGTTATCGGCAACCGCGTCAGCCTTGGAGTTGTCCACCATCTTGAGCGAGTCCGGAGAGAAGAACTCCTCTCGCGAGTGGACGACGGGCTGTCCACTCTCTGCGGCCGTGTCCGAGCCGGGCTCGTCCATGGCGGGCCGGACGCGCTGGCGGGCGCGCTCCTCCGAGGACTGCTTGCGCTTGTGCAGGCGGCGCATGGGGAAGGCGGCGCGCTGCTCCAGCCCGGGGCGCAGCGACGAGCCCATGGCTCCSGGCGGCTCCTCAGCCCCCTGAGCCGAGCCCAGCGCCGAGCTGACGATGCTGAGCCCCAGCTGCTGCAGCATGAAGGAGCGCTGCAGGCGCGCGCTCTGCTCCTGGGCGCGCTCGCTGGGCGGCGACAGCGGCAGCGTCCGAGTGGTCAGGTAGTGCTTGCAGGCTTTGACCACCGAGTTGAGGTGCAGGTGCGAGGCGGCCAGCAGCACGTCCATCACGTTGCTCTCGCCCAGCATCAGCGTGGACGTGTACATCATGTCGATGAGCGCGGCGAAGGCCTCGGCCGTCACCACCTCGCTGTCCAGCTGGATCATGTTCATGCTCTGGTCGCCCTCGGCCACCGTGAAGAGCGCCCTGAAGTGCGTGCTGCAGGCGGCCAGCACCGAGCGGTGCGCCTTGAAGTGCCTGCTGCCCACCACGATGACACAGTCGCACAGCTGCCCGTGCAGACGCTGGTAGTTGAGCTGCTGGAAGACTTGCTCAAAGTGTCCTGGGAAATCCATGGTCCTGAAAAACGGGAGAAAACGTTATATGGAGCAGCTGTGCTGGGAGCAAAGGGAAGGGGACTTGGGATTGAGAGCAGACTTTGGGGTCACCCAACTGTGGCTCTACAGACAACTTATGAAAGCCTGTAGTGAAGGACAAGAGTTCAAACTGAAAGAARGCAGCAAAAGATGAGATATCACAAAAAAATTCCTCCCTGTGAGGGTGGTGAGGCCCCAGCGCAGAGAGGCTGTGGCTGCCCTGGAACTGCTCAAGGTTGGACAGAGCTAGGAGAAGCGTGGGATATGGAAAGTGTTCCTGGCCTTGGATTGGGAACAAAACAAGGTTCCYTTCCAAGGCAAACTGCTGCTCAAGGCCTACTGAGGCTGCAGCAAGCCCAGCTTWGAGGAGGAAAGATGACACCTGGAAGACAGAGAAACAGTAACTGGTCTGAGTTTAACACCGCAGCTTGGGCGCAGGATCAAAGCTGGCAGTGTGGAGGACAAGGAGAAAAATCCATGGAGAAAAATCCACATTTGTCACAGAGCCATGCTGGAAACTGGACACCGTGGATCATCTCACCCAACCAAACCAAATCACACCCACGGGTAAAGCGTTTAATCCTGGTTTGTGGAAAAATCTGAGCGTGAATAACCTGCTGCCCGCTTTGACACACAGCTCACACAGCTGGGAAACCTCCAGCTGACAAAACACAAGGACACAAGACTCAGGACTGCTTTCTTCTTACATTTTCACTAACAGCACACAAGATTAATAGATTGATTTCAAGACTAAATAGGTGATCTTTGGTGATATCTCTGCTTTTCCTTGTGAAAAAGCGACACAGTGGAGCAGAAAAGCTGCATGTGCAATGCACACCAAARTTCCTGTGCTCACGTTTATTTCCCAACAGCACCGATGGACACGAGACCATAAAGCAGCGAAAATAAAAGGTCACATGGCCAGAATTACACTTTTGAGGAAGGATCAAATGCGAGCCTGCTGACTCACAAAGTCCATRMTCCAACACAGAMATGTCGCTGGTTTTTCTTTCCCGATCATCAGTGSCTTTGCTGGCCATCTCATCGTCCTGCACAGGATAYCCCAAGAATCCCAAAAATCCCACCCTGTGTCCYWGGCTGGGCTCAGSACAGGGAGATCMCTCACCAGTTACCACCTGAAACACTCATCCCGGGGATAATTAAGTAATTTGAAGTCTTTGCAAAGTCCAGAACATTAAATGACTGTTGGATAACGATGGCTCTCCTGCTCCTCTGAACCGAGTGCCTTTTTTACCGTTTTTTTTTTGATTTTACGCCTCACCCGGAACCCCCAAGCTTTGTGTCCCTCCCAGAGCAGGGACACATCCCCAACCCCGGTAAAGACACACCCTCACATTCCGCTCCGCGCCGCGCACGGGACATAAAGCGGAGTGCTGAGGGCCCCGGTCCCGCCCGCCACCGGGATCGCCGGGCTCCGCCTCCCCGCCGCCCGCTGAGGCCCCGCTCACCTGCAGTGTGGGCTCGGGAAGGGTGTGGCGGTGGCGGATGGCGCTGAGGATGGGGATGGGGACACCGAGCTCGGCCCCGCTCCCGCCGCCGCCGCCGCGGCCCCGCCCGCCCCGCCCGCCGCCACAGCGCCCGCGACACTTCCGGCCCCGCGACCAACCGCCGCGCTCCTTGCTGCCGCGCGCCCGCCTCGCCCAATCGGGGGCGAGATTATTGGCGCGCGCGGAGGCGGCGGCGGAAGAGGCGGAGACGCGGGAGGAGCGGGACCGGGATCGGGATCGGGATCAGGATCAGGATAGGATCGGGATTGGGATCGGGATCGGGATTGGGATCGGGATTGGGATTGGGACAGGACCGGGATAGGACCGGGATCTGTATCCGCGTCCCAACCCCATCCCTCCCCGCCCTCAGCCCCCGCCATGGCCGCCGCCACCTGGCGCTACCGCGGGGACCCCGAGGCGGAGCGGCCGGCGGCTCTCGGTGAGCAGCACGGGGCGGGTCACGGTTCCTCTCGGGGCTCGCTGCCCGTCCCGGCTCTCACGGTTTCCTCTCCCTTTAGTGCGCTTCGCCAACGGCAGGCTGCGGCGGCCGGAGTCGCTGCGCTTCACCGTGTACCGCAACCGGAACGCGGCGCATCCCCAGAAGCGGCACCGCAGGATCCTGGTGAGGCCCGGAGAGGCTGGGGATGCCCTGGATCCCTGGAAATGTCCAAAACCAGGCTGGACATTGGGGCTGGGAACACCTGGGACAGTGGGAGCTGTCCCTGCCATGGCTGTGTGCGATTCTGTGAAAACCCGTGCTGAGCTTTGTAGCAGATTTTTTAAAAAAAACAGTTAAAGTTTGGCCCAGCATGCTCCACAGAGATGTTTTCCCAAGTGCCACGATGTCTCTTGAGGTTTGGAGGAGGTTTTGGCACTGATGGAGACTGCAGGGTGGGGTGGCAGAGCAAGGATAAGATGAATTATCTGGGAGTTGTTTCCCAGCTAGCTGGGTGGATTTGGTCATGAGAATGTGTTCGTTTTGATGATCACATCAAAATGTTYRTTKYRAAATCTYCACCTGAGGTGTCTTTGGCTAAATYACATCATAAAGAGATCTCTGTGAAGAGGGAGCTGAGGGTAAAATCAGAACGTGCTTTCTGCTGCTGCTGTTAATCTTTACAGCAACAAAAAACAACTTTTCAGCCCAAATCCTCGAGGGGAATTTCACTGCAGCAGAGCAGAAACACCAACACTTTCTCATAATGCATTGGAAATATGTTGAGGTGCCTGAGATACTCCTGGTAGTGCTGGCTCTGGCTTTTCAGCTGGTGAATTGCAGGCATTGGACAACACTGGAGCTTCAGTGAATTATTGGAAAGCACATTTTAAACTGAATTATTGAGGGGTGATCGCTGTGAGGCACACATGTTTGCTTTGCTGATGCACTCTGTGTGTAAATTAGGATTTAAATTTTAAATTAGGGAATGCAGAGCTTGGTGGCAGCCGGGGAAGCCAAGCAGAGCAGGGAATGTCACTCACAGCCCTCTCCTGAAGGAATTGTCTGTGTTTTTCCAGGTCTCAGAGACAGAGCGGCTCTGCTACGTGGGGCACAACTTTGGCAGCGAGGTCATGAAGTGCAACTCCCTGTGCAGGTATGGAAAAGGGAGCTGGGAGCACAGGAATTCTCAGACACACAGAGTTCCTGGTTCTTTCCCTAGACCTGGCTCACAGGTTCATGGAGGCCATGGTGAGACTCCAAAATTCCGACAGAAAGCTCCTGTGTTTGTGCAMATCCTTGTGAAAGATGTGATGTGTAAATCACAGTTTGAAAAGGAGGATATGGCTTATCAGGATGGAGTTACAGCTTTGTTATGAAGAAATTTAAATGAAATTGTTTTAATTAGTTGTTGATCTGTGCTGAAGGGGTCAGGCAGCTGCTCTGGGTGATGGCTCGGTCCTTGCAGCTGAGATGTTCTGTAATTGTGCACAAGGAGCTGGTTTCACCTCTTCAGAGCCTGTCAAAGCGTGCCAGTACCAACCTCTGTCCTGTGTGAGCAGTGGAACCAGGACAGCTGGATCCTCAGACAGAGCAGTGTTGAGTTTGAGATGCTGCTGCTGRAAAAGGGGCACAAGGGGCTGTTGGCTCTTGAGTTTGCAGAGAGAAATTCAATTTAGCAAATGTGTGTGGTACAGGTGTTAATTCAGTGTTTGTGGGCAGATTTAAGTGCTCTTAGCCCTGAACATTGGTGAAGAGATGGTTCTGGGGAATAAAGTGGTGCTTGCCTGTACTTCTGGAGATCCTGAGCTCTGGAAATTTGGGGAAATACAGGGAAATACAGGGAAATTTAGCAGTTATTCAACTATGGTCATCAAGTCCTGGCATAGTCAAAAAAGACAAAAGAAAATAGCAGAACTCTAGCATCTAGCCTAATACAGTTGTTTTAAGACTTCTGCATTTACTTAGAGCAGCAAGTCTTTTCTGTTTTTATGTGCACACAAGCCTTGGAGGTAACTGCATTTATCATTGTGCAAGGCAGAACTGCCACGATGTGGGAAGACCACGTAATTTAAATGAGGAAGCATTTAAATTTAAATTAAATGCTCTGCCTCTCACTCATCAGCTGCCCCTCTTCTCCCCAGGTACTTTGTTGGTGTGTTAGACAAGAACTCGGGGCAGATGGAGGTCTACAACGCTGAAATATTCAACATGCAGCCCCTGCTCTCAGGTAGGAAGTGTGAAGGTCACAGCTGCTTTGTCCTTCTCATTCCTTCCTTATTCCCTTGGCATGAAAGAAGGATTCCTTCAGTCCTGTGTGCTGAGAGGGACAGCAGGAGGGGGAAGAACACCAGGGTGAAGGTTAAGCAGAAGTGTGGAGGATGGGAATCACTCACAGAGTCACTGCTCAGGTGCAGCTTTGTCTGGGTGTGCTCTGCTGAGGGAGGCCTGACACTCATCAGGTCAAGGAACTGGATCCCTGAGAAAAAAGCAGATTTTATCCAGCAGGACTGTTTCTTGTCATGAACGCAGGATAAAAACCCAAAAGATCACAAGTTTTGGGAGCTGGGTTTTGCCCTTGCAGCAGGGCTGGGTTTGGCCAGACTCCACGCATTGCACCCATGGCTTTTGTAGTCAAAGCTCCCATTTTGTACAAGGTTCTCATATTTGGTGTGTCCTTYAATTAGGCAAATCCCATGGAGGAGATCCTGATGTGTTGTGCCAAGTTTGTCAGTCACAGAGCTGAAGGAATTCCTGTCCTGGCTGCTGTTGTCACACTCACTTTTGCTCTTTTGTAGATAACTTGATACCYGATGACACAAAGGACTATCAGACCAAATCCTACAGGGAGAAGGTAAAGTAAAACCCGTGTCATGTTCTGCTGTGATTATCCAGCTGACGGGGCAGGTGTTTCTCTGAGGCTGGGAGGTTTGAATGTCCTGTGGGATTAACCTGTGAAGGATTGGCATTCTCCCTGTGTCCAGGAAGCAGCAGTTATTGCCTGACTCGGGATGTTTTCCTGGGTTTTTTTAGGCTGGATCACCATCCCCATGACCTCCTGGCCCCTCAGAGATCGGCATGTCCTGTGCATTTTGCCCATAAAGTGTTTAAAGTTTTCTTGGAGGGCATGGCTGTGGAACCAGCAGTGGGGTTCGTGTTCTGGTGGGTTCCTGGAGTGTTTTAATGTGTGTTCCTCCCTCGTGCAGATGGATCTGTGCATCGAGGCCTTCGGAACCAGCAAGCAGAAGCGAGCACTGAGCTCTCGCCGCATGAACGCCGTGGGCAGTGACATCGTGAGCACGGCTGTGACAAAAGCAGCAGCAAATGTTATAGATGCAAAGGGAGTGACAGGTGAGAGGGTTCTGTCTCCAGGTGTACTTAACACAGCCTGAAGTGCCTTTTCCTGTCTGTCCTTACCAAGTGAGGCAGGAAGAGGAGGGGTTTTCTTAGAGTGATGAAGAAGCAGCTGGTCTAACAGCTGAGAAGGGCAAATGTAGGGGAGCTGCTTCCTCCTGGTCTTGGTGTTGGAGTTGCCTGAATGAGGGAAGGTCCCTGTCACATCAGTGTCCATTCTGCCTACTTTGGGAGCTCTTGTGGGAGTCCATGGGTATGAGTTCACTGGGATAAAGGCAGTGCCTTCCCCTGGTCTGAACTCGGTGCCATGGCTGTGGGAAAGGCACCTTCTTACTCAGAGAGTGCTGCAGCCCTGGGACAGGTCACARCTCAGTGTGGTGTTGGAACAGGACMKTGCTGGGGCTGCCCTGACCTGTGCACATCTGTGCTCTGGGTGGGAGGGCAGCCAGGAGCCCTCCAGAGCACTTTGGGATCCTGAGGGTGTCATTGCCATCAACAGGAGAGATGTCTGTTGACTGCAGAACTCACCAGCTTTCATCCCTTTCGCTCCGGGGTGATTATTGACTGTTCTCTCAGGCTTGCTTTGTGCCCACTGGAAAATAGCCAAAGCCATGCTCTGCACACCCTGCAGCAGCCAGACATCTTGGTGCCCTTCTTTCCTCAATGTTTTTCTAGTCTGGACTGGCCTTTCTAAATTTTTATGACCAGAAGGCTCTTGACAGAAGTTTTAAATGTTTAAAACTCCAGCTGTGACTAAACCAGTCTTGACCCATTGAGTAAAGTTGGCTCTAAAGGAAGAATTTAGGTTGTGTCCCTGTACTCTGCATTTGATTTGCATGATGCAAATAGTCTGTCATGCTTCCCTCCCCAGCTCTGATGCAGGACATGGCCCAGGACGAGGTGCAGAACATCTCAGCCTTCCTCCCACCGTGCCATGAGGATGCTGACAGGCCAGAGCAGGTGTACAGATTTGAGGACAGTATCTTTTCTGTGTCATGGTGGTTGGCATGTGGGACTAAGCTGAGCCTTTGCCCCTCACAAGCCAAGGTAACGCTGCCTTGAGGTTTTGGGGCCTGCAGGTTCTATAACCTGGCTCTTTGCTGTGGAGAGCAGGGTGCTCTGCCCGCTGCTGGGCAGCATTCCAGGGGGATGTTGGTGAGGGTGGCCTGTGGTTGTGCCACAGTCTATTCAAGGCCTTGGTTCCTGGCCAGCTGCCATCCCCCTGGCCTGCCCACTCCTCAAGTGAGCRTGGACAGAGCTGCCCTACCTTGG